AGCTTTGGTTGGTTTTAATAGACGAAAGGTTTCTGATGTGTGGTCCAGTATAATCCGATATCTAACTCTCGTGTATGCTTATTTTGCAGATGATTATGATCGATCCATTAATGAGGCTATTGAAGTTACCACGTATTGATCTTTATGACCTTGAAATTCGAGTTCTACTTGTGCTTGTTATACTTCTTTAATAAATCTCTCTTAAAATAAATGAATAATGGTGTTCTTGGATATGACAGATTTGTTGTCTATTATTAATACCATTTTTTCCTCAGGAAGAAGCCATCCCCAGAACACACTGCAAGAAGAGATGCGAATGGTTTATCGAGACGCCCTCCTCAAAACCCACACGCATCCATCAAAATACGGTCTCCTATGTCGCCTGAATATAAGGACAAGAATGAGGATCACAACGATACGGATGAACCATTAGATCGCAGGTACGATATACTGAATGCCATTTGTCTTTATTTCACTTAAAAATGCAAATACTAAGTTGTCTTTCAATGATGTTTAGCAACCGAAGAAGGCAAAGGCCCCAAAGATATTCAGCAAAAGAGTTTGTTGAAGCTGCATCTGATAACGAAACAGAATTCAATAGTGATGACGATGTTGTTGGCGAAGTTGTTTATGATGATGAGTATGCTACGAGACGAAAACAGCGGAGGGTGGAGTCAGTTAGCTCAGAGGGAGATGAAGAGTACACATGGGACGAAGAAAATCCCGAAGAAGAGGATGATGATGATGAGGAGGAGGAGGAGGAGGAGGATGGAGATGATGATTCCTCAAGTAGTAGCAGGGACAGTGAGAGGCGGCCCCAAAGATCTAAAAGGGGTTGGGTGGGTCGCACGCGAAGGGGAAATAAGTTGAGGGTTGCAGATGATCGTCGGACTACGTTGAGACGCAGTAAAAGGGCAACAAGAAACTCTATCAACTATCGTCAGTATGAGCTGTCAGATTCCGATACGGAGCCCGAAATGAAAACCGAGAAATCAAATAGCTCAGATGAACACGAGAACGAACATGCTGAGTTTTCATCAGAAAGCGCCGAGTATGAGGATGACAACGAGATTCAGGACGGGGAAGCCAGCCCGGAGCAAGCAAATGCCCCAGAAATATCAAACAGCTATCAAGAGGAGGACGCTGAAGATGAAGATGATGGAAGAAAGCAGAGCTTTCTTGATCTCAACGAGCTTGCCCCGGGTTCTGGTTTTGATGATGGCCTCACTCCAGAGATGAAAGGCAACAACAGTCCTTCAGGCTGACATGATAATACTGAAATTACGCAGCAGTTCCCAAGAGCCCTCCACAACGCCACAGCAGGCGACAAAAAGCGGCAAAGTTTAGTCGCCTTGTTGGTATAATTTCATTTTTATGTTTCAGAGAATGTAGATCAGTGCTTTCCATACGTCTGACATTCAATATGTAAGGGGGGGGATGTGTTGGGAGTTATTACTATATCAAGCCTAGCTGGTGTATAATATTATTATTAGCCATGTTCAACTAACCAACTAATAATGTTGAATCACAAATATTGTGCTTTCATGGGTTGGATAGATTTAGGGTCTAGCATTTGCAAAGACTACTACTCACCTACATGCAATTTGAGTTGCTACTCTAAAGAATTGTGGGGTTCTGCATCCTCCAAAGTCCCATTCTTTGTCTCCCAATTACTATCTTCTATTGGAATATATTGCTCATGTAATCATATGGGGTTTGCGTTTTTAGGCATTATCAAATCCCAGGTTAGTACCGTCTGAGAATACGGCCTAGAAGCGTCTGCGGTCCCAATTCTCCGCGTACCTTGCGGGGATCGTTGGCGAGGAGGAGCCGCTTGAGGTGTGGTTAGACACTTATGTACGGATCTCTACCCTCGGAGAAGAAGTGCAGTGACACATGAAGGTGAAAATGGTTCAGTGGGTTAAGCCCGTTAGCTGTTCTGGGGGAATGGATTGGTGAAAGCAAATTTCACGCATTAGGGAGTGAAAGGGAAAAAAGCTGGAATAAATTGGAAGTAGTTGGTTAAAACAGGAAGATTTGGAGGAAATCAAATGGAGTTGGAAGAAATTAGAAAATGTTTTAAAACTGAAATAAATTAGAAAAAACTAGAAGAAGTTAGAATAAACTGGAAGAAGTTGGAATACATTGGAAGGAATAAGAAAAATTTGGAAAGAGTTGAAAAAATTAAAAAATGTTGAAGTAATTGTTATATTTAATGAATTTCATATTTTAATAAAAAAACTAGTAATTCATACTATTAAAAACAATATGCACGGCTATACATTATTAAAAGAGCAATGCTACGTTCACAAACAGAATGATCACAAATTCCACAAACTTATTATTTATGGTTAAAATTCTCAACTTAAAATTGTTTTAGACCATTTAATTTTTTTTGTCAAAGTTCTCAAATACTCCAGGCATTTCCCTTATTAAAAGAGAAATTTGTGAATTTTGTGATGATTGTGTTTGTGAACCAAGCATTTCCCTTATTAAAACCAATTCAAATAAAAAAGACTTCACTTTGTAATTGACTCCTAAGCTTGTACTCCCTTTTTTAACAAAGTTTTTACTCCCTTTGTGCTAAAAACAATATCCATTCCTTTTTTTGTTCCAATTTTTTCTAACTATATATAATTAATGAAAATCTCCACGTCTTCTTTTATTTTTTATTCAGATGTTTGACTGGAGTTATTTTGAAATCATCTTATATGAAAAATTGTACAGAATTAAAAATTAAAAATTAGATATTTAAAAACTATATACAAAAAGATCTACAAAACTAGAGGTGACATGACTATATTATTCTATCGAATTGACAACGGAAATGCGCCAACAAAGTGGATAAAGTTTGACCCTGTGAATAATGAACGACAATATTATTGTTGGATGGAAGGAGTATTATTTAACTAAACATTATTTTTAGGACAATATGAATTTTTTAATAAATTGTGGGGTTCTGCATCCTTTAAAGTCCCATCATGTGGGGGGAGTTTGTTGAAACACGGGTTTATAGTGTTTTCGTACTAAAGTCGTGTTCGTTTTTATGATAGGTTTTGATAATGACAAACCGCCGTGAATGTGACAAGTTGTTGAATATACAAGGCGAGAAATAGATATAACAAGAAAGCAAGAGAACCAGAGCTAAAAGAGACCAAGAACGAAGACCGTAGTCTTTAGCGTCATTGAGTCGGTCACAATGGGATCAAGACCGACCCAAGCTTTGCCCTTTAGCTCTTTAGGCTATTTTTTTTATTGCATTTTACATATCATCAAAATTATTTTCAAACATGCTTACACATATTAAAAACATTTGGCATTCGCCCAAACCAAAAACCAAGTCCTCCGGGGTTCGGCTTTCGGAAACCAGCGTTCGGCATTCGGTTATCGGTGTTGGTTTTTGGCGTCCGAACCAACCAAGTGGTTTTCAACTTTTTATGATTGGTTTTTACTTCTGGGCACATTTAAATAGTTTTCCATCAAAAACACTTCAAAAACCACCTTTCGTTTTTTGTCATTTGATAAAAACCATGCGAAACGGCATAAACTTGGCTAGCCGTGGTTTTTACTTAAATGAAGTGGTTTTCGAGTCTTTTTGTGTGAGAATTGTTTTTGAATGCATTTAAATGGTTCTCCAATCAAAACATCATGAAAAACACCTTTTGGTTTTGTCTTTTGGTAAAAACCACCCGTGTACGGCATTGACTTGGTCAACTGTGGTTTTTACCTTAACGACGTGGTTTTCAACTTACAAATCTTGTTTTGAGATCAAAATACATTAAATAAGTGTTTTATATATACTTAGTTTTTACTTTGGAGAACTTTGCATTTTTCGGTCGGGTTTTAGCACCCGTTAGCTGGTTCTGGGCTAGCCATCTACCCAGCGGTGGTAGATATAACCCATCCATGGGTAAGTGATCCCGGGATTCCAGAATCATGCCACCCAGCGATGGGAGATATTACCCAGCGATGGGTAAGCAGCCTTCAGCCCAATTGAATTCCAGAACCATGCCAAACAGCGATGGGAAGCTCTACCCATCACTGTTCAAGCCTTGGTCCAATATAATCACAAGGCAGAATGACCTTACCCAGCGATGGGAACCTTTACCCATCGATGGGAACCCAGCGATGGGAGGGCATACCCATCGCTGGTTAGGCATGACCGTTGTGAGTCATTTAAGGCTGATTCTTTCCTTGTTTGAAAGTCAACATCCCACCCAGCGATGGGAAGTGTTTACCATCGATGGGTAGGTGACCGTTGGCTTCAAAACTGAAGGAAAATTGGCTTACCAGCGATTAAACATCGATGGGAAGCCAATTGCCTGCAGATCCCAAATTTATTCAATCCCATAAATCAAGCCAATCACCCTTTTAATGTATTGGTCCGTTGGAGCCTACTTTGGCACTATAAAAAGGGGTGTTTGGGTCTGCTTTACACATCAATTCACTTCACAATATTCATATTATCATTTCATCCAAACCACATAATTTTCCATAGCTTTCTAGAGCCAACTTGTGTGAAGTTTGAGTTGTTCTTGAGCGTATATATTTTACTCAATATCCACTCTTAAGGAGAGTCTTGTTCCTGAGTGTCTTAGTGTTGTATACACGTTAAGGAAAGCCTGTTTCCCTTGGTTGTACGAAGGAAATGTATTTTCCTTTGGGTTGAAGTCTTGGAGTGCGGTATCTCCGAGCAAGTGTTGTTGAGGCTCGTGGGACTCGAGTTCTCAGGTTGTAACGGTTTGTTAAGGACCCGCAAGCTTAACGGAAGTAGTGTAGCTCGTGAGAGTCTCTCGGGAGGTTGGATTAGCCACGAGTTGTGGAGAACCAGGGTAAACTCGGTGTGCCTCTTACTCTTCTCTTTTCTTCTCCTTTAAATTTTTTAATTCCTGCGATTTTTACGATCAAACGCTATTCACCCCCCCTCTAGCGTTGGTAACCTATTTTAACAATTGGTATCAAAGCCTAAATCGCGTCCAAACTTAATCGTTTGAGAGTAAAAGCGATCATGGGTTCTTCTTCTATAAACTTGTATGCAAGAATAGGTGAAGGGCAATCAACCACACGGCCACCTCTTTTTGATGGAACCAATTATACATATTGGAAAGAACGAATGAGAATCTATATTCGTTCCATTAACTTCCAATTATGGTTGGTTATCAAAAACGGGGAAGAGGTGCCAATGAAGAAAGTCGGAGATAAGTTGATCCCCAAGACCAAAGACGAATTTGATGCCGAAGACATCAAGAAAGTAGAGAACTATGCAAAGGCAATTAACATGCTCTACTGCGCGGTCAACCCTGATGACTACCACAAGATCTCCTGCTGCTCAATCGCCAAGGAGATGTGGGATAAGCTCGAGGTGACGTACGAAGGAACGTGTTAGAATAAGTGCCCTTCACTAGAGGGGGGGTGAATAGTGAGGCACGGGAATGTTTATAAATTTTTGCGGAATAAAAATCGCAGGGAATAAAGTAAAGAGCGGAATAAAAAGGAGTACAGGGAGCACACCAAGATTTATACTGGTTCACCACAACGTGTGGTTAGTCCAGCCTCCCGAAAGACTCTCTCGAGCTACACTACTTCCGTTAAGCTTACGGGTGCTTAACAAACCGTTACAACCTGAGAACTCGAGTCCCACGAGCCTCAATACACTTGCTCAGAGATACCGCACTCCAAGACTTCAACTCGAAGGAAAATACCTTTCCTTCGTACAACCAAGGGAAACAAGCTTCCCTAAAGTGTTTACAACACTAAGAACACTCAAGAACAAGGCTCTCTTTAAGAGTAGATGTTGAGTAAACTATATACGCTCAAGAACAACTCAAACTTCACAAATTGGCTCTAGAAAGCTATGGAAAATAATGTTGTTTGGATGCAATGATAATATGAATAAAGTGAAGTGAATTGATGTGTAAAGCAGACCCAAACACCCCTTTTTATAGTGACAAAATAGGCTCCAACGGATCAAAACATTTAAAGGGTGATTGGCTTGATTTATGAGATTGATTAAAATATGGATCTGCAGGATATTGGCTTCCCATCGATGTTTAGACTCACTCATCGCTGGTAAGCCAATTTTCCTTCAGTTTTGAAGCCAACGGTCACCTACCCATCGATGGGTAAATGCTTCCCATCGCTGGGTGGGAGGTTGAGTTTCAAACAAGGAAAGAATCAGCCTTAAATGACTCACAACCGTCATGCCTAACCAGCCATGAGTATGCCCTCACATCGCTGGGTTCCCTTCGATGGGTAAAGGTTCTCATCGCTAGGTAAGGGAATTCTGCCTTGTGAAAATGTTGGACCAAGGCTTAAACAGCGATGGGTAGAACTTCTCATCGCTGTTTGGCATGGTTCTGGAAATCAGTTAGGCTGAAGGCTGCTTACCCATCGCTGGGTAAGATCTCCCATCGCTGGGTGGAATGATTCTGGAATCCCGGGATCACTTACCCATGGATGGGTGATATCTACCATCGCTGGGTAGATGGCTAGCCCAGAACCATGGCCTAGCTGACCGGCACTAAAACCCGACCGAAAAATGCAAAATTCTCCAAAGTAAAAACTAAGTATATAAAACACTTATCTAATGTATTGTGATGTCAAAACAAGCTTTTTAAGTTGAAAACCACGTCGTTAAGCTAAAAACCACGGTTGACTAAGTCAATGCCGTACACGGGTGGTTTTTACCAAAAGACAAAATTGAAAGATGGTTTTCATGATGTTTTGATTGGAGAACCATTTAAATGCATTCAAAAACAACTCTCACACAAAAAGACTTGAAAACCACTTCATTTAAGTAAAAACCACGGCTAGCCAAGTTTATGCCGTTTCGCATGGTTTTTATGAAACGACAAAAAACGAAAGGTGGTTTTTGAAGTGTTTTTGATGGAAAACTATTTAAATGTGCCCAGAAGTAAAACCAATCATAAAAAGTTGAAAACCACTTGGTTGGTTCAGACGCCAAAAACCAACGCCGATAACCGAATGCCGAACGCCGGTTTCTGAAAACCGAACGCCGGTTTCTGAAAGCCGAACCCCAGATGGCTTGGTTTTTGGTTTGGGCGAACACCAAGTGTTTTTAATACTCCCTCCGTCCATTTTTAATGTTCAGGGTTTTACCGGGCATGGAGATTAAGAAAAAGTGTAAATGTCATTGACTTTACCAAAATACCCTCCACCCCTTTCTCTTTTGTTCATCAGCTCTTTTCTCTTTTCCTGTCTACAGAGTATTTTTTTACACGCCACGGGACAAAAACATCCACCTGCCTAGGTTACACCGGTTCGGCGGTTTGGTGACGCCTCCCGCTCCGGATTCGCCGGCAAGGACGGATTCGCCGGCGGGGACGGCGACCGGCGAACCAGATCCGCATCTAAAGCTTCGGAATCATCCGCGTATTCAATAGGAATGGATCCTGAAATCCTGAGACGAATCCTGCCGCCTCCCGCTCCGTGGCGACCTTTGACAGGCGCCACTGCTCCACGGCTACCTCTGACCACTGCATCACATCTGCCCCTGCGATTTCTAAAATTTTCAAATAAATTTGGAAAAAAAAGTTTCATAGATCTAGAAAAAGGGAAGAAGGTGGCGAGCAAAATTTTCAATTAGATCTAAAAAAAGAGGAATATGACAAGAGAAAATTTCAAACAGATCTAAAAAAGAGAGGAAATTGGCGAGTTGACATGGAGAAAGAAGAGGAGAAGGAAGAAGAAGAAGAAGAAGAAGAAGAAGAAGAAGAAGAAGAAGAGTAGGAGTTAGGGGCGGTGGGGATGACAGACGGATGAAGAGATAAAGAGTTGAGGTGAGGAGAAGATGGAGGATGATAGACAAACGGATGGAGGAAGGTTTGGGGGAGAGTTGAAGGGCAAATATGACATTTAACTTAAACTTTTTTACTAAATAAGGAAACACGAACTTTATTTGTGGACGGACGAAAAAGGAAAGTACGAACATTAAAAATGGACGGAGGGAGTATGTTTGAGCATGTTTGAAAATAATTTTGATGATATGTAAAATGCAATAAAAAATGTTTTAGCCTAAAGAGCCAAAGTACAAAGCTTGGGTCGGTCTTGATCACATTATGACCGACTCAACGACGCTAAAGACTACGGTCTTCGTTCTTGGTCTCTTTTAGCTCTTGTTCTCTTGCTTTCTTCTTATATTTATTTCTCGCCTTGTATATTCAACAACTTGTCTCGTTCACGGCGGTTTGGCATTATCAAAACCTGTCATAAAAACGAACACGGCTTTAGTACGAAAAAGCGATAAACCCGTGTTTCAACAATTTCCCCCTTTTTGATAATGGAAAACAAGACGGGGTTATGCATAGGAGGATTGTTTTGAGACTTTGAAAATATTGAGACTTTTGAGAGATGTTTCTCCTTAACAAATGCAACAAGGTTTATGTTTTGAACAAGAGTTAATATTTTAAAAAAATTGTGCTTTAGAGAAAGTTCCCCCTCAATCTATGCATAACCTTTATATCTTCCCCCTTTTGACATTAGCAAAAAGCACTTAAAAAATTGTAAAAAAAGTACTCCTTGAACATTGATGTTTGATACTGAACATCGATGTTTGAAAATGTCCTAGAGCATCATTTGTCAACAATGTCGTAAAATGAGCTTCCCCCTTGATGCGGTTCATTGGGTTTCGTGCTTGGAGCATCCACTACAAGTTTGTAGTCTTCAAGTACACCCTTTTGTGCATCTAGTAATACCATTGAGGTACCCAATAGCTTTTGGGTCCTTGGAGGTTAGGCAAATAAAAATCATAATCATAATTATAAGAAGTGTCCTTAAGTTTAGCAAAACAAACGGGAGCTATGTGTCCTATCTTAGAACAATAATGGCATACTATGTTTGGATTATGCATATGCCTAGGTTGAGCCAAAAACTTTCTAGGTGATCTAAAATCATTATTCATAGAATTATTAACTAAATTCCTAGACTCATTTCTAGGTTGTCTCAAAATATTTCTACCATTTGTAAAAATCCTAGAGTCAATTCTAGGTTGTCTCACCTTGTTACTTTTATTCTTTCTAAAATTAATTTTGTTATACCTAGGATTATTAGTTCTTCTAGTTGGTTTAACATTCTTAACTTTTTGACAAAGTTTCTTAGGCTCTTCTACCTTATTTTTTTCAATGGTGCTCTTAAGTTCTACATTCTCTACTTTTAAAGACTCACAAGAGGAACAAGTAGAACTTTGGTCAAAGAAAGAATCTTCATTCATTGCCTTAATTTTATTTTTGAGGTCAAAATTATCATTTTCCAAAAATTTATTTTCCTCTTCCAAAGCATGAATTTTTGCCTTTAGCCTCTTTGGCAATTTTTGAAGTTTTCTTTAATTTACCAAATAATTCTTGAAAGGCTTCTTGTAATTCTTCAAATGAGAAAGAGTTAGAAGCACTTACCTCTCCATTTCGTTCATGAGCCATAAGACATAAGGTGGCAGTTTCGTCACCAGAACTTTCTGAATCCCATGCCATGTATGCTCGTTCCTTCTTTTTATTTTCCTTGCGGTTTGGGCAATATGGCTTTATGTGGCCATGTTCTCCACAACCAAAGCACGTTGGAACGGGTTCCCCCTTTCTTTTACAATCTCGGGACCCAAGTTCTTCATTCAAAAACTCTTGGAACTTCTCGAGCAAGTTATGAGAAGGATTATGGTCATCGCTATCGGAGTCACTTACCTCTACCCTTTTTGAGGATGAGGCTTTGAGATCGAGACCGGGACTCTTGTCAAGAGAAGGTTTAAGAATAGTGGATTCATAAGTTTTAAGATTACCTTAAAGACCATCGATGGTGACATTGGTGTTACCAATCGACTCATATATGGCATCGGCTTTTGAACGTCATTCCGGTGTTAGGCTCCGAAGGATTTTTCAAACAAGATCTTTGTTCGAGTATGTTTTACCAAGGACATGGAGATCGTTGATGATCTTTAAAAATTGGTCGAACATTTGATCAACACTTTCAATTTCCTTCATTTTAAACAACTCATATTCATGGGTTAGAAAATCAATTTTAGCTTCACGGACTTGAGGCGTACCTTCGTATGTCACTTCAAGCTTATCCCACATTTCTTTTACGGTGGAGCAAGAAGAAATTTTCCGGTAGTCATCCGGGTTAATTGCACAAAAAATCATGTGTTTAGCTTTTTCAAAAGCTTCTACCTTCTTGATGTCTTTAGTATCATATTCTTCCTCCTTTGGGATGGTGGTTTCACCAACCTTTTTCATTGGCATCGTCTCACCGTTTTTGATGATTAACCATAGTTGGAAATTGATTGACCGAATGTAAATCCTCATTCGTTCCTTCCAATAGGTGCAGTTTGTTCCATCGAAGAGTGGAGGTCTAACGGTGGAGTGTCCTTCACTTAATCCTGCATACGACATTCTCAACAAAAAAATATAGATCGTTCTCTCAACCGGTTAAGGCTTGTAGAGAGTTAGGCTTTGATACCAATTGTTAGAATAAGTGCCCTTCACTAGAGGGGGGGTGAATAGTGAGGCACGAGAATGTTTATAAATTTTCGCGGAATAAAAATCGCAGGGATAAAGTAAAGAGCGGAATAAAAAGGAGTAAAGGGAGCACACCAAGATTTATACTAGTTCACCACAACATGTGGCTAATCTAGTCTCCTAAGAGACTCTCTCGAGCTACACTACTTCCGTAAATTGTTTCGACAAATAATCTTTACCCATTATCATTTTAATCTCTCTACATTCCATATTAAGCATTAAAAAATTTTACCATCTACCTAGCTCTCTCTATGTATGTATTCAATGTTTTAATTTAATTACAAAATTCATAATATTAACCCATAGAAAAAACATCTAACAAAATGCACAAACCTAAACATACAACGCCAGAACGAATATCTAAAATCATGACAAAAAATTAACTCTTCAACGAGCAATGTCAAATTGCAAAACCCTCAAACTACAATAATATCACTCTTCATATTCCACAAAACAAAAGGATACAGTGTAGTCTTCCAAAATCTTACATAACCAAAACATACACAACCCTTCAACACATGTCCAAGCGTAGCACTGAAGAAAATCAAATCATAAACCAAAACCTCCATTTCCAAGAATCATCTCAATAACATAATGACACCGAGCCCTAATAAAAAGCCCGTGCGTAGCAGGGGTAGAAAACTAATTATATTTAAAAACTACATCCAAAACTATACAAAATAAGAGGTGATAAGAATATTTTATTTTATAAAATGATCAACGAAAACATGTAAATAAATAAGAGTTATCGAGAGACCATAATCATAAATAAGAAAAACTTTTTAAGACGGAGGGAGTAGTTCTCAATCCGAACTCGAAGTAACCCGAATCTCAAGTGATCGAATCCAAAACAGACGTGCCCATCCATTTGCCAGCTCTAATGATTACCTCCGGTGGAATTCGTTTTGCATCATAGCAATAACACATGACCTTGAACACTTAAATCAAGACCACTAATCTGGAAGGATTTTTGTTATAGGAAGGGAGGGGTTGGGTTTCTTACGGTTGGTTCAATCTAAAATTCCTCCAAGTTCATCTGTTATAGGAAGGGAGGGGTTGGGTTTCTTTGCATTGATCGTTAACAATTTCCCTCCTATAAGGTCAGTAGTATAAATTTGAAGCTCTCTTTCGTTATCTATATATCATCTCTTCTCGCTCGGACGACTTAGCACTGTTGATTGCCCTTATAAGGTTTCCATTTTTTTAATACTCGCGTGGTTTCTAGGGTTTCTCGGATGCCGGTTATGAATCCGAAATACAATGATCCGACGCCGGTTATGGATCCGCAATACATTGACGTCCCAAAGTTGGACAAACTTGTCAATCGTGTCTATGGAACTGGATCTAATTCCGATGTGATCTTTGAGTCATTGAAATGATTTGTCCGCTGCTTTGTATACTTTTCCATAATGTTTATTTGGGAAATGAAATGTTTATTTGGGACTTGAATTCTTTTTGTTTTTTATGTGATTTTGCATATGGCTAATGCACATAATGTTTTGTGTGATCTACAAACTAATCCAATCACGTGGACTCGAGTTGATAAAATCCTATTCAACACAAAGAACTTGAATACATGGTAACGTCAAACATGCATAACTATTCAAGCAAATTTTATTCTTATGATATGTGCATTCTATTGTATTGATTTAATCAATTGAACTTAAAATTTTGCACACACATACATATATACATATTCATGTGTGTTTTTATGTGTGTGGGTATGAACAGAGGACGTATATAGATAAGGAAAGATAATTTTTTATAGATAATTCGAACACATATGTATATACTAGGGTTACTTTATATAAGCTTAGTTTGAATACCCTTGTAATGAGGCTAACATTTAAATGGGAACAAGAGAGGATTGCCAAACTCGCAAGCATCACCAACAACCCAGTGTATGGCCAAAGCTTTTCCTCTGAAGTTGACCCAAATGATTATGTGGTTGACCTTGAGTTGTTAATCATATGCTCAACCCATCCACACCATTGTAGTGTTGTCTGCTCTATTGCATCATCTAGTAGTTGTGATCATTTTATTGACAGTTGATGAATTTAATAGAACAGTAGAAACAGACACTGATAGTTGAATTTCTATGTCATTGAAGTCTCATGATAGGGAAGACTAATGGCATGCTATTTACCGGTGAATCGCAAGATAAGATTTCATCTTCGATCAATGAACTTATTTTGAAACTGACGTGTAAAGCAAAAAATTTGGTATTCAAGTTCTTTGTGTTGAATAGGATTTTATCAACTCGAGTCCACATGATTGGATTAGTTTGTAGATCACACAAAACATTATGTGCATTAGCCATCTGCAAAATCACATAAAAACAAAAAGAATTCAAATCCCAAATAAACATTTCATTTCCCAAATAAACATTATGGAAAAGTATACAAAGCAGCGAACAAATCGTTTCAATGACTCAAAGATCACCTCGGAATTAGATCCAGTTCCATAGACACGATTGACAAGTTTGTCCAGCTTTGGGACGTCAATGTATTGTGGATCCATAACCGGCGTCGGATCATTGTATTCCGGATTCATAATCGGCGTTCGAGAAACCCTAGAAACCACGCAAGTATTAAAAAAATGGAAACCCTATGAGGGCAATCAGCAGTGCTAAGTCGTCCGAGCGAGAAGAGAGGATATATAGATAACGAAAGAGAGCTGAGCTTTGAGGAAAGGGAGAGAAATTGTTAACGATCAATACAGAGATCTGGGCTTCGAGGAATTCAGATGAACTTAGAGGAATTTCATATTGAACCAACCGTAAGAAACCCAACCCCTCCCTTTCTATAAGAGAAATCCCGCCAGATTAGTGGTCTTGATTTAAGTATTCAAGGTCATGTGTTATTGCTATGATGCAAAACAAATTCTACCGGAGGTAATCATTAGAGCTGGCAAATGGATGGGCACGTCCGTTTTGGATTGGATCACTTGAGATTTAGGTTATTTCGAGTTCGAATTGAGAACTACTCTCTCCATCCTAAAAAGTTTTTCTTATTTACGATTACTGTCTCTCAATAACTCTTATTTATTTGCATGTTTTCGTTGATCATTTTATAAATAAAATATTCTTATCACGTCTTATTTTGTAGAGTTTTGGATGTAGTTTTTAAATATAACTAGTTTTCTACCCCGTGCTACGCACGGGATTGTTATTAAGGTTTGGTGACATTATGTTATTGAGATGATTCTTGGAAATGGAGGGTTTGGTTTATGATTTGATTTTCTTCAGTGCTACGCTTGGACATGTGTTAAAGAGTTGTGTATGTTTTGTTTATGTAAGATTTTGGAAAACTACATTGTATCCTTTTGTTTTGTGGAATATGAAGAGTGATATTATTGTAGTTTGAGGGTTTTGCAATTTGACATTGCTCGTTGAAGAGTTAATTTTTTGTCATGATTTTAGATGTTCGTTCTGGCGTTGTATGTTTAGGTTTGTGTATTTTGTTAGATGTTTTTTCTATGAGTTAATATTATGAATTTTGTAATGAATTTAAAACATTGAATACATACGTAGAGAGAGATAGGTAGATGCTAAATTTTTTTAATGCTTAATATGGAATGAAGAGAGATTATAATGATAATGGGTAAAGATTATTTGTGGAAGCAATTGTTGGAGTGTAATTGTAGTTATTGTCTACAAATCGAGTCTGGTTATTGTATATCCAAATGCATCTCTGTGAAGGACTATTGCTTGTTTAGCTGCATCTTGTTCTGCACCAATTTTCGTCTCATTACTGCATATAATCGAGATTATTATTCCATCTTTCATTGCGATCTCTTGTGTGGTGTAGTAATGCTGATTTCTCTCTTTGGTTTCATGGGTGTAATGTGCCTTTTGTAGGTGTAATTGTTTTAGGATGTGGGAAAGGATTGGTTTGTAAGAGATGCGAAGTTGTTGCTTGTCATCATCCATTATCTGCAAAACGTAGTAATGTTAGGGGTTGCATGATTTTAAGTTTATTATACTTATGTGTAGACATGTTTGCGTAGTTTTGTTTTTTGTAAAATTTTTGTTTTTTACAAAAATAGAGTGACATAATGAATATTTTTTATGTAAAGCTGAGAATTTATTTGAAATTACTTAAATATGTACATTGAAGGGAGAGTTTAGATTTTAAATGTGATATGTAAGAGGGGATTAAAGTTTTGTGTTTTTTTCTTTGAAGAATGGAAATGTTATGGGTGGAATAAAGAATAAAAGTAGTTTGATATAAGGATAGGAAATGTTGTGTACACCGAATTATATACACATAGGGTTGGTGGTGGTAATATGGAAGATAGACTTACCAGCGGATGTTGGTGTTTGTTGTACACGACTATGTGTTCAGTCTAAAAAAGATATTGCAACAATGCAACACAATCCTGATGAGCAATGAATCAACAGATATCACAGGCATATGTTTTTTAACCATCTATATCAAGGCTAGCCAGAACTACTCATTTTCAAAATGTACATATGATAATAATCAGGCCAGGTGTGTGTTTGAGCACCACTATAATCAAGCAAGCCTATGTATATAGCACAGCCAGGAAGAAGAAGGAAAGAAAACCTCTGAGCTATTTGTTCATGACTCTGCATTAGTGATGTCTTCGGCGCTCTTTCTCCCTTGATGAATAAGAGGAACTATGATAGCCCCGATCTGCATGAAAAAAAGTAGCTTCATTTTGTTATTAGCCAGTTTTGGTGACACGTCGCTCTAGAATGTAAACATATGTCTATACCTCCAGAAGAGGGGCGTTTTGACTTCTCCTGGTGCGCTGCATCATTCACACAAAGTTTTAGTTAGCAAATATTATCAGTGGAAAATTCACAAGCTAATTTAAATAGTAATTCGTCAAAATAAAGGAGCCCTATTCGATACTTTATTTTTGTCCCAAAATAAAAAGAAGAAAGATTCTCATCTCCACAGAAGAGTTAAATTAACATACCTGCTCCGTCCCGAATTTATTGTCTCAGTTTGACTTCACGGATTTTAAGAGAAGTGTTGAAAGGTATGTGGTTGAAATTTTTTAGAAGAAAGAGAAAAATTATAGACCACATATTTTCTTTACTTTATTAGGAAAGTAAAGAAGCGAGATAACTTTTTTGGGGCGGACAGAAAAAGAAAGTGAGACAATAAATTCGGGACGGGGGGGTTATATTTAATATATCTTTTTAGAAGTTTAATACCTTCTCTTTAGCAAGTTAGGAAACAAGAATGATTATCTAGCCTTTAGGGAATGTGAGAACGAAGGACAAAAAACAAAGGCCCCATTTTTTGAGTTTGGATTATTCAAAAATTGATGCACAAAGAGACCCTTGGCATTGGAAAATCATCCACTTCTTTTTTTCTAAGTCTCTTAAATAAAGTATGTCAACTTTAATTAAACTATCAAATAAATTTTAAAATACAGCTAGAATTGATTGTTTTCAATTATCATAGGTCTTCTTCGTACCTCGCTAAAATTAAAACATTCGACAAACAAGTCTCTTTTTTTTGGGAGGGGGAACAAAGTAATATTACCTTTGTCTCTTGAGTGATAGCTCCTTCCTTTGGCTCTATCCTTTTCCCTTTCAATATCATCCCGCTCCCTTTCCCTTTCCCTATCGCGGTCCCATGACTTTGATCTTTCCTTCTTCCTCTCCCTCTCTCTATCCCTATCTTTGTTCTTATCCTTTTCACCAGTTCCTGCTTCTGTCTTGCGTACAGTTATTGATTTCGACCCAGGCTCATCCCTTATTTCTCCTTCAGGAAACGAGCTTTTAGACTCTTCGCTGCTCTTTGCCTTCTCAAGAGGAGCTCTTGTCACCACATCTTTGCGCACTTCCTGACCTGTTGCAGCCGCAGGAGCTCCCTTCGGAGTAGCACCGGTGTCATCATTCCCAGATGGGCCATTTGATGCAACTTCCTAATAAGTGACAGAAAGGAAAATAGGAAAAATAGTGATAAATAAGATAATTCTGGCAATCAAAACTGGGCATTAATTCAATATTCAGGGGTTGACTGTATTCTTGACTTAGTTTCAATGAGAAGTAAAAAATGGGGAAAGGATTTGCATAAAGAAGAAAATTACGAGTTTTAACTCTAACCAGTTGAGCTTAATAGCAAAAGGATCACACGAGAAAGTACAAAGTTTAAAGGACTAAAGGATTGAGGGCAGTTTTGACCTTAGGCACTGACTGAGAGGGTGAATCCCATGATCTATTTGATGTTGAAAACGAACCAGTTTCCTTGCACACAGGTATATATTGTGCCTTTGGAAGGCTGTAAAGATGGGCCAGAACACGACAAACTTCATCAATCCCAGCCTTGTCTGCATCAAATGCTTTCCACCATGGAGGGTTCTCAGGCAATGGCACTTGAAATCTATGGGCTGCAGTATACACAACTCCACAGGCCACAACCTCACTCTTAAATCTAACAAACAATGTTGTGCGCAAACTGAGGAGCAAATGATGACAAGTGAGCAAAATGAAAGACAAGTTATGAGGGAAAAAGAAGAGCATGAGGAAAAAGAAAAAAATCATGAAAACAAAGCTAAATAGTTATAAGTGCTGATTGGAAACAACCCAAAACAGAACAAAACCAAAGAAAATATAAAAGTTAGTTGTGAGATCTCTACAACTAAAAAATAAGAAGAAACGTAAGCGACTTGTTAGTGTCATTACATTCGGCCCAACGTATAGTGGGGGGATCACATAGGTTAAGGGACGTACACAAGAAAGCTAGAATAATGCAAAGCCTTATTGCTACGGGTCATGCACTGCATTAGATTACGAAAGGTCAACTGAAAGCTTGTTAAACATATCCTGAGACTGAAGATGGCCAGACCTATTTAATATATCCTTTAGAACTGTGTATAAGATTAGGACCCACCCATAGATTACGAAAGGTCAACTGAAGATGGCCAGACCTAAATTACAATATTCACTCGATCAGCTATCTTTTAGCAACACCCATGGACACTTATCTTTTATCAACACTCTTCGCTACTCCATCCACTTTTGGATAAAGCGGTTGCCCACATGGACCAAATGGATACTATTCCTCCACTACGTGGTCCGTGTCACTCAGATTCATCCTTACCCCCTAGACCTGTGGAAACAGTGAAACACTAGAGATGGTTAAGTCCATGTTAAAAATGGTTGCACAATCAGTCAATTGTGTGATCATTCCTTTCTTTTGGATGAACTGTGTGCTCTCGATATGCTTTGAGAGAAAGATGGAAACACCTATTTCCTAGGTCATGTATCCCTGAGACCGAGTATCACTCAGAGCATTCTTACTTAATTTATCATTTTAGTGAGTGGAGCTTCATGCCTCCACAAATGATTTTATTTTAGTATGTTGTGTTGTGATCATTCTATAAGCCTGGGTGACCAGGCCATCAGTGATATCGTGACTTGGTGCATTTGATGGCCTGATCTGATATCATTCACTTGATATGATTCACTGCACCACTAATACTTTTCCAGCATGAAAAGCTTTGTTTACCGCCATGGAATTTCATTTGATGATACGCTTATCACCCAACACGTGTATTCATGGGGGAAGTCATTGTTTGAGATGATATTTATTAGTACATTGGATGGGACTATTTCACCATGGCGTCCTGTGCATGAACTTTGGAAGTTAGATTTGAGTGCCTGTATAGTGTATGTAAACATATTTTATCATTCATTTATGTATGGTGTCAGGAGTCATTCTCGATGACAAGATTGGCTTCTTTGGAAAATTTACGTTATTTGAACGTATTAACAAAAAAAAGTGTATTTCTTAACCATCAAGATAATTATATTTAATCTTTATAATATGATAATTATGGAAAACTCAAAAGTATTGAAACTCTCAAATTTCAGAGGAAAGAATCCCTCAATACTTTTATAAACTCGAATTCATCTTTCTAATGTGTTACAATAAAATATACTAGTATAAGCCAATTTATAGGACAAACCCCCACAAAAACACAAACAAACTAAAATTAAAATAAATTCTTTAAGTGGTAGGGGTTGATTTGGAAAAATAATGCAATCGGAAGAGCGCATTGATCAATGGGGTGGACCTTAGTCGTATGTAAAACCCTCCATTGGTACAATTTGGTGTGCACTAATTGTTAAAGATGATTGGAAAGCTTGCCTTCACAGCGCAGCATAAATCACAATAGTTAGGGTGTATGCATTTAGTTTGTGTACTTCACACACACACAACAGTTAGTTAGGGTGTATTTCTTTATATAGCCTCTCTATTACCGAGTAGGGGTAACTGGTAAGGTCAGCCAGCGTGCACACACCCTCCATGTCTTCATACCCTACTTTTTGTAGGATTTTACTGGGTTTGTTGTTATTGTTGCTGTTAAAGAGCTCATGGAGTACTTATAGACTTTTAACTTCCAGCAGTTCGACATTAACATCAAATATTTTAATAAAAGACTAAACTAAGAACTAATCTTGTCACTTTGTGCTATTCATAACGAACACTATTGTTTGAATATCTGCAATCTGTAGTATTTCAAAGAGAGCAGGTGTATTGAAGTAAAATAAAAGGACATTAATAGTCAGGCAAAGAGATCTACTTGCTCGAAAAATACCTGTCATTTGCAAGATTTCATGCTTCCTGTCTCAATTCATCAGGCATTCCAAGAGCTGCAATATAGTTTGATATAAATTTATGAGGTTGTTCAACATGGCAGACAAAACCCATCTCTTAGAAGATGCCTTTTTGTACGGACCAACTCTGCCTTCAGTTCAGCATATTTCTGCACAAAGAATGAACAAAAGGTTTCAATATAAAACAACCAACTAGCTTTCAGATGAAAATACTCTGTATATAAACAAGAATGAAACTAATAACAAACATCTTCATTCTTTTTGTAATTTCAATCTTCTGTCAAATGTGGATTCATTAATCAAGTGATGGACACGGAGAAATATAGCAGTAAAAAGGGAACAACATCCAATAATTCAGACATATACAAAATCCTGAACTCTGCAAAGCAAAAAAAAAAAAAAACTAAAAAAAAGTCAATATACATTACTCTGCTAAGATAAGTGTCTACCCTTTAAATGGTAAAATAGATGAATGGACTATTCAAAATCTAACCTTTGAATTGGTATCAAAATGCTCTATGGGTAAATTCTCCTTCCGGCATTCCAATCTGTGGAAAATAGTGAGGACCTGTCTGGCTTTTCTAGGACACTCTTCAAGTTTTGAGGCAAGCCACACACAGCTTGCAGCAACCCTCTGTATGAAAAACAACACCATGTCAGCATGTAGAGCTGAAGATCACAAATTATGAAACTTATATCGTTGCACTACTAATTGTATGCTTTAATTTTTGGGTAGAGGAAAAAGGAAAGAGATATACCTTCACGTTGTAATGAGCAAATGATTTATTGCAGTAAAAGCAGTGGAACCTGATCAGTGGCCAAAACAGCTTGAGGTCTGCACATAACCATATTAAGGAGATACAATAGCCATATACTGGTATTAGAAATATAGAATCAATTCACAGCTGAAAATGTTCATCTTATTGAATACATCTCTAATGATGTCTATAAATATTACAAAGTTAATAATGAAGACAATTAAGGAAAGTGAGTGGGAGTTAATCAAATATCTTGATTGATAATTTGATTCCAATCAAGGATATTATCAAGATATTACACTATTCCTTTTTGTTTGATATTTCTAACACTCCCCCTCAAGTTGAATCATCCGTTTCGGATGTTTAACTTGCTTAATGTTGCTTGAAAGACTCCAGCCGATACTGCTTTTGTGAGAATGTCTGCCAATTGATCTTCAGATCGGACATATGGAAGACTGATGATATCTGCCTCGAGTTTCTCTTTGATAAAGTGACGATCAATCTCGATGTGCTTGGTACAATCATGTTGTACTGGATTCTCTGATATACGAATAGCAGCGGTATTATCGCACATCAGTCTACACTTTTCCTTTGGTGGATACCCCAAATCTTTAAGAAGTTTTCTTAGCCAAAGAACTTCGGTAATTCCTCGAGCGATACCTCTGAATTCTGCTTCTGCGCTTGATAGAGCAACTACCTTTTGTTTCTTGCTTTTCCATGTGACCAAATTACCTCCAACAAAGGTGATATACCCTGAAGTGGATCTTCGATCGTTTGGATTCCCTGCCCAGTCAGCATCTGTGTAGGCTTGAATATCTAAGTGACCATGTTTCTTGAATGTAACTCCCATATTAATGGTCCCCTTAAGATATCTCATAATTCGGAGAGCTGCTTCCCAGTGTTCCTTTTGTGGTTTGTGCATGAACTGACTTACCACTCCGACAGCATATGCAATATCAGGTCTTGTGAGTGCGAGATATATAAGTCTTCCTACAAGTCTTCGGTACTTATCTTGATCAGCTTGTATTTCTCCCTCAATAATTTGAAGTCTATGGTTAACCATCATTGGAGTGACAGCTGGTTTGCAATCCATTAATCCAGTTTCCACTAAAAGATCAAGGATATACTTCTTTTGACAAATAAAGATCCCCTCTTGAGATTTGAGAACTTCAATGCCAAGGAAAAAGTTAAGTTCTCCAAGGTCCTTCATGTCGAATTCCTGGAATAGCTTGTCTTTTAGTGCTGCCATCTCTTCTATGTCACTGCCGGTAATTATCATGTCATCCACATAGATGATCAAACATGTTATGAGCTTGCCTCGGCTTTTTAGAAACAAGGTATGATCAGAATTGCTTTGATGATATCCATATTTCTTCATGGCTATCGTAAACCTGCCAAACCATGCACGTGGAGATTGTTTTAGACCATACAAAGCTTTCCGCAATCTACACCCTTCGCCTTTTTTGAAATCTGACAAGAACCCAGGTGGTGCTTCCATGTAAACCTCATCTTTTAATTCTCCATGGAGAAAAGCATTCTTAACATCAAACTGATATAAAGGCCAATCTAGATTAGCTGCTACGGAGAATAATACTCGGATAGTATCAATTTTGGTTACTGGTGAGAAAGTCTCAGAGTAGTCAATACCATAAGTTTGAGTATATCCTTTAGCTACCAATCTGGCCTTATACCTCTCGATTGTACCATCTGCTTTGTGTTTGACTGTAAATACCCATCGGCATCCGACTACTTTCTTTCGTGGGCATAGTTGACATTTCTCCCATGTGTTGTTTTTCTCTAGTGCCTTCAACTCCTCCTCCATTGCTTTCCTCCATTCTGGTATTTGTATGGCTTCGTCTACTGTTCTAGGGACTTCATGGCTGGATGTATGAAAAGCTTGTGATACACTCCCCCTGACTAGATCAGCAACAGGATATCTTGAGTTCCGAGGGATGTATTCTGGTTCATATCTGACTGGAGGAATTCCCCGATTCTTCCGTGGTGGAAGAACATATCTGTTTGACATATTCAATTCTTCCACACTATCATTAGATTTATCAATGCCATCATCAGGGGTGGGGGAAATACTAACCTTAGGAGTCTTTTCAGACGGAGTAGTTACAGACATGAGTTCTGAGTTGGTGGACTGTTCAATATTCTCAAAAATTGATCCCACAGAGCGACTTACTTCCTCAGTTGGGACAGTTTCAGGTGGCAAGACTGAGCTGTGTACTGGTGGCAAGACTGGGCTGTGTAACCACTCTAGATAGTCATTCGTAACTTTCTCCCCCTAACTACTAGAGTGGTTGTGGAAATAGTACTCAGTTTCCAAAAAATTACAATCCATTGTTGTGTACATCCGACGAGAGATAGGATCATAACATCTGTACCCCCTTTTGTGAACCCCATACCCAACAAAGACACATCGGACGGCACAAGGATCAAATTTTGTTTGTTTGGCTTTTGGAATATGTACATATACAGTGCAACCAAACACACGAGGAGTGAGAGTCAAGGAGGTAGGAACAGTGGAAAATTTTGCAAGTGTATCGATAGGTGTTTTGTGATTTAGGATTTTTGTCGGAAGGCGATTTATGAGGTAAATGGTGGTTGCAATTGCTTCGGGCCAATAATAAATCGGAACATTAGACTCGATCATAAGAGCCCTAGTGATTTCGAGTATAATCCGATTCTTACGTTCAGCAACGCCATTTTGTTGAGGGGTGTCAGCACAAGTGGTTTGATGGATAAGACCTTTTTCCTTACAGAAATTTTCCATGGGATGATTTATGTATTCTCCTCCATTATCAGATCGAAGAATACAAATATGTTTTTGGTATTGTGTGTGGATCAATTTGTAGAATGAGGTGAACTTTTCAAAAACTTCAGATTTGTGTTTAAGAAAGTACACCCAGGTCATACGGGTACAGTCATCAACAAACAATAAAAAATATTGATAACCATTTGGACTTGGTTCTGGAGATGGACCCCACACATCAGAATGGATTAATGAGAAAGGTTGTGATGCAACCGTGTTATTTAGCGGATATGAATGTTTATGACTTTTGGCTAGAATACAACTGTTGCAATGAAACTGACATGATTTATTGAATAATTTTGGAAAGAGAATTTTGAGATACCCCAAAGATGGATGTCCCAAACGACGATGCCACAGCCATGCCTGCCTGTCCACTGTCCCATGAGCAAGCATAGCTGTTCCGTAGTAATCAACTTCATCAACATAGTACAGTCCATTACGCTCAGAACCACGCCCAATGATCTTCCTCGTCTGAATATCCTGTAATAAGCAAAAAGTAGGTTGCATTAGGACCATGAAATTTAACTGTTTGGTGACATGGCTTATTGACAGCAATTTATGAGACAATGTGGGAACATATAGGCAATTATCGAGCTGGATAGATGTCGATATAGATATTGGACCGGTGCCCTCGACACGAGAATAATCCCCATTGGCCGTTTGAATATGGGTTTTCTTAGACCAATTTAAGGAATTAAAATCGAAACGGTCAAAGGACATTGTGTCCGTTTCCCCACAATAAAAAATCCACTGGGTATTTTTAATTGGGTTTGTATTGGGCCTGTTTGATGGGCTGGGAAGAGGTTTTAATATTAAAAACCCCTTCCCTTCTTCCGTAACCCTACCCGCCGCTTTCTCTCCTGCGCTTCTCTCTTCTGCGCAGCTTTCCTATCTCCTTCCTTCTTTCGTTTCTTCCATGGCAACTCCGGCGAAGTTGCTGGTGGTTTCCTTCCATCCAAATTGAGATGGTTTCTGGTCGGTGGTGGTGTTGGTGGTCTCCGGATTGCCCACCACTGCCCCAGCGACTCCAGGCGGCGACGGTGGTTTTTTTCCTCTCTTCCGGCTGTCCGGCCACCACTCAGGGTAGCCAATTTTCTTGAATCATCCTTCGGCCGTATGCTTCATTCCACCGCAGAAGGTACACTTGAGCTGTGATTTGTCCTCATAGATGCGAGATGATGATTGGCGAAAATCTGATCGTATCGCCGCGCGTGTAGCCGCTAGGCCACCACCAATTCCTGAGGGAGATTCTCCCGATGATGGCCCTTCCTCTTTCATTATTCCTTTTCTTGCTGCCTCCCTTCGGATTTGGGCGTACGCCTCTTCAATTGATGGAAGAGGCTCTGTTTTGAGTATATCTCTTTTTTCAGCATCAAATTCATTGTTTATTGCCTGTAAAAATTGATATAGACGATTTTGTTGTTGAATTTGTGTGAAAATCGTCATATCCTCTGGGCATTTCATCGGGTTGGGTCGACGTCTGTCGATTTCCTTCCAAACAGCTTGTAATTGGCTGTAAATCTTCTCCAAGGGCTGTGCACCTTGTTTGATTTCGCTGGCCTTAACCATCAGGTCGTATATTTGAAGGGGATCTTTTCCGGAGCTGTACGTGGCTTTGATTCCCTTCCACAAATCCCAGGCAGTAGGGTAATCGATATATTGATTAACAATATCCGATTCTATGTTTTCAAGTATCCATGTTATTACCGTTGAGTCTGCTTGTCTCCATTTAATATATTTGGCATCATCAGATTTGAGAGGTGCGGCGATGATGTGCTTGAGCCGTCCTCTCCCGTCCAGAGCCAGGCTCATTTTACGCGCCCAAATGGCGTAGTTCCTATCGTTGAGCTTTTCCGCCAAATTTAACGGCTGATTGGAAGAGTTCTCGATAGGTTCGGCCTTGGGTGCTAAATTCTGAAAATTTTGGAGAATTTCCAGAATTTGTGCAAGGTTGACTGGCTGCTTCATTGGATCGGATTCCCCTGTGTAGGTGGAACTCTCTGGAGTTTGATCGGACATTTTTTTTATGGTAGATGATGAACGCTGCGTTTCATTCAATTGTTTGATCGAATGATGGCTCCGATACCATATTAGAAATATAGAATCAATTCACAGCTGAAAATGTTCATCTTATTGAATACATCTCTAATGATGTCTATAAATATTACAAAGTTAATAATGAAGACAATTAAGGAAAGTGAGTGGGAGTTAATCAAATATCTTGATTGGTAATTTGATTCCAATCAAGGATATTATCAAGATATTACACTATTCCTTTTTGTTTGATATTTCTAACAACTGGTGGAAAGAAACCATATTTACAAATGACTTACTTGGGGATACATGAGTATTGCTAAAAAAATGCAATTACAAATAAAGGATACAGTTTCAACAAAATTCCACTCTCTTGGATAAAATTACACCCATAGATTACACCTCCCCCTCTGGATATGAGTGTGTTACGGTATGGTAAGGTATTTAGTCTGTACGGATACGGTACCAAATATATCGGTTCGGTATGAGATTTTACATCGTACCGATCCCGATCCCGAAATATAGGTTCGGTATGATTCGGGATGGTTCGGTTTCGGTTTCAGTAAATATTGGAACAAATATATATACTTACCTAGTGTATACTTTGGAAAAAAAATGAAAGTACATTCAAAAAAAATAAGATAAACAATTGGAAAATGAATAATTAAATGCAAAAATACTTATAAAACTTAGTTTAATTTATATACTTCATATTTTACAAACAAAAGAGAATGAATGACAAGAAAATAATATTTCAAATATTTGTTATATAAATCTACAAAAAATAAAATTCAAATAAATGATTATATAAATAAAAGATTATTTGTTATTCATCTACACTTGAACCAACTTTTCAAAATCAATTTTTTTTGAATGAAGAAATATAAAAACATTGTTATTTTTAGAACGTATCTGTATATATGTTCGGTTCGGGATTTTTCGGTATGGGAAGTTACCTCGTACCGATCCCAAATACCGGACCGATCATTCGGTTCAGTATGGTACGGTTCTTTTTCGGTATTTTATCGGTTCGGTAATCTTGGGTTTTTTGGGAAATTTCGGTATCGATTTGGTACGTGCTCACCCTTCATACAACGGGGATTTGCACATATTCAGGCAGGGAAGAAAGCACAACAGATGGAGTGAGGGCGTTGGATTGTAAGTAAGGCCGGTCCATAACATAAAAGGGTCCTGTGCAAAAAACAAATGGCCCCATTGTATCAAATAAATGTGCACAAATGCACAATCCTTTAGGGGGCGTTTGGTTAGGGGTAAGGGAATCAGGAAACGGAATGGGATTTCCTGATTCCCGTTGTTGTTTTTCCCCATTTTCAGGTTTTCCGTTACCTAATTTATTCCATGCTACATATTCCGGTTTCTGATTCCCATTCCCCTTCCCCAACCCTTCGATATTCCTCATCCCCTGCGACATTCCTCATCCGTTTCTTGACTTTCTTCTCGCCGCCACAGACCTCGCCTCCGCCACACACCTCGCCGGCCACCGCTGCAACTCCATCCCAGGTATGCTCTCCCCCTTCCATCTCGGTTTCCTCCCCCCTCTTGCTCCGATTCCCCCCC